TGCTATTTATTAGCATTGGCGCTTGCAGGAAAGGCCAAAATCGTCATAAGCTTGCTTTAGGGAAACCTTTAGAATAAGAAGTCAGCAGTAGCTTTGCCAACGGATAGTTGCTCATGGCACATATCCCCACCCCGGCAACTCGCAAATGTATATTTCATGTAATTTTTGGTCAAAATTGCATGAAATATTCATTGCGTCCGACCAGTGTTTGTGAGGAAAGGAAATTTCAGACCGGAGGAAGTGTGCCATCCGAGCCGTTGACAAATGTGACAACATCGCCCCGAAGAAAAGTGCAGAAATTGTCGGGCGATGACAGTGGATCGATGGAAACAAATGATTATGAGAATGGGAACAGTGGAATTTTGTTTGAAAATGATACAAAAGCTGTTATATGGGGCCAGCAGATCAAAGCTGTTCAGGTGAGCATGCTTCAGAATCGTTACATTAGCTCTGATTAGCTGTAGCTTTGACTTAACCGTTTTGTTCGGTATTGATGTTGCTGGCATTTTTTTTACGGTTGCTATGACCTAGATCAGCTTCAGCTTCCCTTACCAGTTTTATTTTTTCGTTTTTTTTTAAAGGGAAGTTTGGATGTATCATATTTATTTGGCTGCTTATGTAGTGAAAGAATTCGTATGCGTAAATCGGGATTTACCAAGGGCATCTCGAAACGGCTAAAATCTTAACAGCTTCTGTGAAGAGAATCGTTGAGTTGATAATTCCTTCAGAAGTCGAGCAGTTGCTAGAATCGGCGTGTCACGAAAGCAGGCAACGCTTTCGTGATCAATGAGGCATAAACCCTAGTGGATCATGCCGGGTCAGCGTGGTCGGCCAGCGCTACCCGCTTGCCCGACCGTGAACAGTATAAAAGCCGTTTGCCCTAATGGGATTGTTTTTATGCGTTTTGTGCTGTGCAACAGCAGTACAAAACGTCTGTGTGTGTTTGTGTGTGTGTGTGTCCGCAGCAACTTGTCCGCAACTTTCAACTCGGGAACCACAAAAAAGCTAGGAAGCGCTGAATAGGGGAACGTTCTTCACCCACGTGTGACCCCGCAAATTTAAATTCAGCTTCCCCGTACCCGCGGGTAACACGTACGGCCC